GGTGCTCCTGATGCTCCTGTGGCTCCTGTGGCTCCTGCTGATCCTGTGGCTCCTGCAGTCCTGCTGCTCCTGCTGCTCCTGCTGCTCCTGCTGCTCCTGCTGCTGCTCCTGCTGCTCCTGCTGCTCCTGCTGCTCCTGCTGCTCCCTCTCCGCCTGAGCCTCACGCTCTGCTTCAAAATCCTGACGTTCACGTTCCTGACGTTCACGTTCCTTTTTCTCGCGCTCCAGGCGCTCCCTGTCTTGGCACTCCCTCTCTCCTCGCTCCCTCTCTCCTCGCTCCCTCTCTTGGCGCTCCCTCTCTTGGCGCTCCAGCTCCTGATGCTCTCGTTCGATCTCCTTCTGCCTTTGCGACTCCTGAAGCTGCCTGGAGGAGGAGAGGAGAAAGACGAGATAACTAATTAAGGGAAATAAATCTATTTCTTATTATATATACTTAGACTAGTGTATACTTTGTGGTTGTGTGAGGTGAGTTTGAGAAAAGGCTTCTATGCTGTCATTATATTAGTTCAAGCTATTCCGGGCACATTCAAATACAAAGTGAGGACTGCCTGTGGTTATAATCTCCCTCTGCTGCAAACTGCAAACCAAAGACAAATAAATCAAATAAGAGGCAAAAATGTAAAATGATATGGGGTCTTCCTGTAGGTCTTCTATGTAAAGTGCAGATGCAGCTTCAGTCAGCAGGGGTCAGCAGAAGGCAGCAGTGTGTTAGCTGTGTGATAGAGAACCATGCTGATGATAGAATTATACTGGTCTCTGTAGGGAAACTGCTGTAAGAGCTATTTCAAATAAGAAAAGGGCATGAACGAGAATAACACAGCTTCTGTATATAACAGAGACACAGGATGTGTGCGCCATACTCTCATTACCAGGTAGAAGTGTCTTGTATGACAATAAAGGAAGACAATCTGTCAATTTAGAAATTCAGGCTTTGTTTTAGGCCACCCAAGGTGTCATTGAGCAAGGCATGGCAGCCCCCCCGCTCTGACACCTCTCCACTACACTAATACTGTTTGTGCATGTGTGTATTTCAGGCCTGTGTGATGTGATACAGAACAATAAAGTGAATATTGAATTTCTCCTACAGGGCTTGATACAGTTTGTCTTCTTCTTAATACAAAAAAAGAGCCAGTAATCTAATATGTTACGATGATTCTTTTTCTATGGGCCCTCTTTTGCACACAATCACTCGCTTGTAACTATTGCAGTGTTGGGTTACATTGTGACTGAATATAGGGAAAATAGATAGCATCAAAGCTAGTGACCCGGCTGCAGAGCTTCACAGGATTATCCTGACCAATAAGATGCAAGGGAGGAGTTAAGGAGATTTCAGAATATATCTTTATGTCTGCTACACCTCAATCTCATTGACTCCCATGTCCCTCCAATAAAAGAGGGAAGTTATCATGATCATTTGTGGCAGTAGTCTTCATCTTGCCCGTTTCTATGCCAGGATGGCTAAACTGCCATCAGCGTTTCAAATCTGCTGCACTTTAACTACCAGCTGTGTTGGCAGATTGATTTATTAAGAACTAAGAGGATTATTATCCCACCAAAGATCACACGTACACATACACAGTGTGTAGTAGTAGTTTACAAAATGTGTTCCAACTCTCTCTTATTGAGGGCTGGTAACCAGTTTCATTGTGTTTATTTTCATGAAATAATTCATCAGTAAATACATAAAAAAGTATAAAATATATTAATATTTGATAGATTTGTCAAATATTTATTATGATATATATATATATATATATATATTCAGATTTTGCTCTGGATATATGCTTCCTGTCATTTCATTGTACAAAAGATGGAGAGGCTTAATTTCAAACCATAATGTTTGTAGGGTTAATAAATTAGTAAATTAATCCACTGACTTTGGGTACAACAGGATACTAACAAAATGTTCAGTGTTGGTGAACAATGACTGTTAAAATGTCTCCAAAGGGTGCACAGAGTGATTAGGAACAGGTGAATGAGTTTAATGTTCAGGTAACACTTTATGGTAAGGGTACATGAATCATCATGAATTCATGCATGACTTGATGCAGGAACAATACCTTAATTAATGCATCAACTAAGGTATCTCAATCTTCATGACTTCTGAGTTATTAATGATGTTCATGTCTTTTTCATATAGATCTGCAGTTAAGGTGTCAGGCCAAACAACTGACCAGTCACAGCAATTCGAAGTGTTGTAATGATGATGAACTAAGCATGACTTTGTCATGACTTCATGTTTGTGCCCCTTCAAATAAAGCGGTGACCCTGTCTGTCGGTCACAGTAGTGGATGCATTCTGTTGAATTCAAAGTGTTGTAATCATGATTAACTACAAATCAATAATTTGGCAGCTTAGGGGAAACCGAACTGAGAAACTTTTGAAAGAACATCTTGCAGTTATAGAATGGACTTACTGGCTTGGAAACAGGCATAAGAAAGGACCTCTCGTCGTTTACTGAAAGACATTCGGGTCATGTTTCCCTGAACCACCAAGAGCTCACTGACTTCAGATATGAAGAAGATGGACGTTTCAAGATAGCCCCTGTCCGTGCCTCACATCTATTATCATTACATATGAGTCAGGAGGTTTTTTCTGAAAGATAAATCCCTGATGATCTATACGCAAGTCATTTCAGGGCATTTGATCTGTTGTGGTCAAGTTCAAATCACAAATAATTCAACAATATAATAGTATGATTTACTATTAACTTACTTTTGCCATGTATCTTGTGTCTTTGCCGAACATTTATATTGCTTTCTTATGTGACATGATATGTGAAAATGTGATCTTGCTGGCTTTGGATTATAAATTAAAGTGTGTTAATATGAGTTATCTTAAATGGTTTATGAGCTTTAAGATAATACTGTATGATACTTCAAAAATAATCCTAACTAAATAATTGATAATTGAAATTAAGTCCAAAATGATGATCTAATTTGCATTTGTAATATCGCCAAATACATGATGCCTAAATAGACATAAGGGCTGACTTTATTTGAGGGATCACAAAGATGATTGATGCATGAGCACCAAATGGTTAATAAGGTGATTTCACATAGGCCATTAATCACATGTTATTTATCAGTGCAAACGACGGAACAGGTCACCACTTTATTTGAAGGGGCACAAACATGATGAAGTAATGACAAAGTCATGCCTAGTTGCTCATGATTACAACACTTGGAATTGCTGTGACTGCTCAGTTTTTTGGCCTGACACTTTAACTGCAGATCTATATGAAGAAGACATGAACATCATTAATAACTCAGAAGTCATGATGATTGAGGTACCTTATATTAGTTGATGCACTAATTAAGGTATTGTTCCTGCATTAAGTCATGCATGAGATACCATTAATACCTGTACATTACTGATAGTTCATGAAGTACTACATGAGTACTACATGAATGAATTCATGCATTAAGTCATGATGATTCATGTACCATTACCATAAAGTGTTACCAATGTTCACAACCTAAAGGTGTGTGGACACTACCAAGTGACAGTGTACAAACAGTAGTGTGTGGATAGAGTAAACTTCTGTGTCAGGAAAACACAACGTTGCTACTGGGAAGTACTCAGAGTGTGTATGAGCAAAGCAGATCCCTCCAGCTGGGCCAGGGAGCGCTAACATGCCAACTTTATCCTGACAGTCATTAGACTCCAGTCCGTTGTCTCGTTCTTTGGAGATGGCTGTACTTGCTCAGTCTGTCCTCAGTTAGTTTGCACTGGCATTGATGAATGATTTATAACTCTGTGGCTTTTAAAAATCTTGACTGTTGGCCAAATGTTGTGTTAGAAAGACAATAAAGTTGTAAACTAGTTGAAATAGGATTGTAACACCTGAACAGTGCACATGGACATGTGATACATGTGTGGGAGTCCACTGTTATTACCTTTCACACCCAATATTGAAAATAATATTCCTTTGTTTTCTTTTTTTAAATAACAATTCCAGAACCGATTATGTGAAAAAATAAGGATGGTCAGGGGAGAGTGTTTGATGTATTTGTCACTTCCACATGTCTCCATATTCCCTTCCTGTGACAGGAGGAGCTAGCACAGATTTTCCCTCTCTGCCTGGCATTAGTGTTCCAGGATTCACTGCTGTGAAAAGCCTCACAGTTCAGCTGCCGTCTTACTGGCCTCGTGACAAGAGTTGCCAAGGAAACTGTTGCTGAGGGAGCGTGGGCGGGCGCATGGGCTGAATCCCCGCACAAATATAGACATATGTGCACATGCAAAAAGATTGCTTTCCTCTTTGAATCCACAAGGATGCAAGACAGGATGCTAATAAAGTGACGCTAGGGGTCTTAGTAACACTAAAGGGTGGAAGACCGACCGTAACAGTTTCTATACAGCTTTATGTTTCCTTTTGCCTTATGAAATCATCAAGCCAATCCACCATATTGGTTTTAGATATTTTTGTGAGTGTGTGCGTAAATATCTGCAGATATCAAAATGTGTTACTGACAAGGTGCCATCCAGAGCAGCTGCTGGTGTTTTCAACAGCTAACACACATTTATTACATTTCTCCACCATCCTCACTTTGATACAAGTCCATGCATCACATCCTCTCTCTCTCTCTCTCTCTCTCTCTCTCTCTCTCTCTCTCTCTCTCTCTCTCTCTCTCTCTCTCTCTCTCTCTCTCTCTCGATTCGACACACACACACACACACACACACACACACACACACACACACACACACACACACACACACACACACACACACACACACACACACACACACTGTAATGGGGTTTCGCACAGGGTCACATGACAGCAGAAAAGATCTTACTGTCTTACGGTCGTCCACCTCTTCTTTAATTCCCCTTTCTTGTCACTGAGACAGAGATGGATGAAAAAGAGTGGAGCCGGCTGGTGTGATTGATGGGGGGCTGTAAATATTCCCTGAATGAGTGAGTGGAGTCCTGACGGCTGACGGAAGCCTGCAGGAGCACCTGTTCACAAACTGTGCTACCCTCACATCACAAACACCAGCTGCAATAAGAGGCTGCCCTATAACTAGTATGTGTGTGTGTGTGTGTGTGTGTGTGTGTGTGTGTGTGTGAGATAGTGTGTAGACCTAATCATTTCCAATAAATCCTTTAACAGCTTCTAGACCTGAGCCAACAGCTGTCCAACATTACTACACCATGTGTATGCATGAAGTGTGTGGGGTGTGTTTCTAGCTGCACACATCCTCACTACTACCTGAGAGAGAGTGTGGCCTTGTGTGGGGAAGGAACACAACAAGTGAATGCAAGTGTGTGTATGTGTGTATTCCATTAGTTATATATTTTAGTAGTAGTCAGTTAGTGTTTGGCATTACCTTCTCTGCAGGTCCATCTCCTCAGAAGAGGGGCCATTCTGAACCTGGGGGCCCTGCCGGGGACAGGTGGGGCCTGCAGGGGGTGACACAGAGACATCCTCAACATGACAGTCACACGCAACTCCTCCTCTACCATTTCAAGGAAGGAGACTCGTCATATCATACAACTTTTAAACACAGTTTATAGTTAGCATTTAATAAAGGCTCCGTCACACAGATGTGCTGAAGGATTTATTTGATAAGGTGCAACACATACAGTGGGGCAAAAAAGTATTTAGTCAGCCACCAATTGTGCAAGTTCTCCCACTTAAAAAGATAAGAGAGGCCTGTAATTTTAGTCCTAGGTATAACCTCAACTATGAGAGACAAAATAAGAAAAAGAAATCCAGCAAAT